AGACCCTCCTCCCTTGACTGAGCCGGTTGAGGTCACTGGTGACTCAGGTCCTGCTGAGGGTGGTCCTGCTCGGGTTGCTGCTTCTGGGGGTGCTGAGCCTGGGGGTGCGGAGCCTGGGGGTGCTGAGCCTAGGGGTGCGGAGCCTGGGGGTGCTGAGCCTGGGGGTGCGGAGCCTAGAGGTGCGGAGCCTGGGGGTGCAGAGACTGGAGGTGCTGAGCCTGGGTGTGAGGAGTCTGGGGGTGCTGAGCCTGGGGGCGCTGAGGCGTCAGGTGAGCAGTCTCTCTGGGGCGACCGTCTCCGTAGTCGCTCCGCTGGCGCCTCGCCGCTGCACTCTCGTCCTTGACTCCCTCTCTCCCCACAGCAGCTGCTTGAGTGGTACGCTGGCCGTCAGGGTCGCGCTGCTGGAGCTAGGGGCCCTGCTGCGGGAGGCGCTGGAGCTGGTGACTCTGCCACTGGAGTTGTTTCAGCTGGAGGCTCTGGAGCTGCTGAGGGTGCTGGCGCTGGAGGTTCTGGCGCTGAGGGTTCTGAGTCTGCTATTGCGCGGCTTCCTTGGAGTAGCCGCCTTCGTCCGCGTGTGCCTCTCACCTCGCAGCAGCTGCACAACTGGTACGGTCGCCGTCAGGGTCGCGCTTCTGGAGCTCGGGGCTCTGCCGCTCGAGGTACGCCTGCTGCCGTCACTGGAGCTGGGAGTGGTGCTGGTCCCGGAGGTGCTCGTACTGGAGGTACTGGAGCTGCAGGGACTGGAGGTGCTGAGCCTGAGGGTGCTGCTGCTGGAGGCACTGAGGCTGGAGACCCTGGGACTGGAGGTGCCGGTTCTGGGGGTGCTGCTGTTGGTGGAGCTGGTACTGGAGGAGCTGGCGCTGAGGGTTCTGGAGCTGCTAGAGGTGCTGGCGCTAGTGGCGCTGGAGCTGGAGGTTCTGGAGCTGCTGAGGGTGCTGGCGCTGGAGGTTCTGTAGCGGCAGGAGGTACTGGCGCTGGTGGCACTGGAGCTGGAGGTTCTGGGGCTGCTGAGGGTGCTGGCGCTGGAGGTTCTGGAGCTGCTGGAGGTGCTGGAGCTGCTGGGGGTACTGGAGCTGCTGGTGCTGGTGTCACTGCACAGCCGCGCCTGTTCTTCGCTCCACCGTCTCCGTCGTCTCAGCCACCGCCTGACTCTGTGCTTCGCCAGGTTCTTAGTCTCCCTTCGTCTACTGGTCTTCCGTTACAGCCTGGTTCACCGCTGCCTGCTCCTTCTCCTTACACTGAGCAGCTAGGGAGTCTTACTGAGCGTCGTGAGCCTGCGTCGCGTCCTGTCTCGCCTGTCTGTTCTGGTCGTTCCGGTCGTCGTGTTCCTCGTCCGCGTCTGCCGGCTGTCCCCGACACCCACCTCGTAGTCCGTCGTCCTTCCTCTCCTTCACAGCGTGTTCCTTTGCCGTCCCCTCCTGCGTCTTCTCTGCCTATCGTTGCGGACCCCGAGTCTGACCGGTTTCGTGCTGAGCACCCTACTGTCACGCGTCTACTAGCCACTGTTGTCACTGACCCGTCGTTTGAGTCTGCTGCTACGTCTGCCTTAGTTGCTGAGCTTGTTGACTTTGCTGCTGCCTGTCGTCTAGACTACGCCGCTAGTCTTGTTGTTGAGTCTGAGTCTGTCTGTCCTCCGTCCGTCGAGGGTGAGTGTGCTCTTGGCACGGACGTCCTTGAGGACAGGCAGGAGGACCTTGAGTGTCTTGCAGCCGCTGCGCCTCATCTCGTGTACATGCTGCTTGCCCCTGAGGGAGACCCAGATGCTCCAGACATCCCGACCCCGCGCTCTTACGCTGAGGCGATCGCGGGTGAGTACTCCTCTCAGTGGCAGACAGCCATGGATGCAGAGATGGCATCCTGGAAGTCCACGGGCACCTACGTCGACGAGGTTCCCCCACCTGGGGCGAACATCGTCAGTGGCATGTGGATTTTCAGGGTGAAGCGGCCGCCAGGTTCTCCGCCTGCCTTCAAGGCGCGTTAGGTTGCACGAGGTTTCAGTCAGCGAGAGGGAGTAGACTTCTTCCAGACCTTCTCCCCCACCCCGAAGATGACCACTCTTCGGGTGCTGCTGCACGTTGCCGCTCAGCGAGACTACGAGCTTCACTCTCTTGACTTCAGCACAGCCTTCTTACAGGGCAGCCTGCACGAGGAGATCTGGCTGCGCCGCCCTCCTGGCTTCACTGGGTCGTTCCCTCCTGGTACCCAGTGGAGCCTCCGGCGGCCGGTCTACGGTCTCCGCCAGGCGCCACGTGAGTGGCACGACACACTGAGGACGACACTTGCGGCTCTTGGGTTTGCTCCGTCGACTGCTGACCCGTCGCTGTTTCTGCGCACCGACACTTCGCTGCCGCCGTTCTACATCCTCGTGTACGTCGACGACTTGGTCTTTGCCACTGCTGACACTGAGGCTCTCGCCCAGGTGAAGTCGGAGCTGCAGAAGAGACACACGTGCACAGACCTGGGTGAGCTGGCAAGCTATCTTGGCTTGCGGATCACCCGGGACAGAGCACGCCGCACCATCACACTGACTCAGTCACACATGGTGCAGCAGGTCCTTCAGCGCTTCGGCTTCACCTGGTCCTCGGCACAGCACACTCCTCTGGGTACAGGTCACTCGCTCTCAGCTCCACCTTCGGATGAGTCCGTAGAGCCGAGTGGTCCTTACCCAGAGCTCGTGGGCGGCCTCATGTACCTGATGACCTGCACTCGTCCTGACCTTGCGTACCCTCTTGGCCTTCTGGCTCGCTACGTGGCTCCTGGTCGGCACCGAAAGGTGCACATGGATGCTGCTAAGAGGGTACTACGCTACTTGTGCAGTACATCGGGCATGGGGCTCGTGCTTGGAGGGCGGAGCCCAGTTGTCCTCACTGGGCACTCAGACGCTTCTTGGGTTGACGACCAGGCTACGCAGCGATCGTCACAGGGTTACACCTTCAGCCTTGGCTCTGGTTCGGTTTCTTGGCGTTCTACACGCTCGTCTTCAGTTCTCAGCTCCAGTTGTGAGGCTGAGATCTACGCCACAGCCATGGCTGCACAGGAGTTACGCTGGCTCACCTACCTGCTGACCGACTTGGGAGAGAGGCCTCGTTCTCCTCCAGTGCTGTACGTCGACAACAAGGCTGCCATTGCCTTGTGTCAGGAGCACAGACTGGAGCACAGAACGAAGCACATCGCTCTGCGTTACTTCCTGGCTCGAGAGTTGCAGCAGCGGGGTCAGCTTCGTCTTGCTCACGTGGCCACTCGGGCCAACACTGCTGATATATTCACCAAGGCACTTTCGTCTGGTGACCATCAGCGTTTTTGTACTTTTTTGGGCCTTGTGCCTACGTTTCCACACTTGCTGTAGTCTCTGCTTGTACTTTGATCTATATATATACCTGCATGCTTGCTCTTGCTAGCTAGAGATCACTGTGCTGTTCTTGTTACATATATATCTCTGCATGTGAACTGGCCTTGTGGCCTTTTGCTTGTGCTCAGACTGCGTGGTGACGTTGTGATCCACCCTGAGCTTGCTTTGCACTTCCTGCCTGGCCCTGTGACCCTTTGTTCTCCCCCACTTTGCCTATGGGGGTGTGTCAAACATATGTTTATATGTTATAGTTTAGGTAGGCTTTAGTGGGGTACTCACTGTGGGGTACAACCCCTTAGGTTCCACTTTTGTACCAAAACTTTCTCCATAGTCAGCATCCTACTTTAACAAGAAAATGTTCCCTTTCTGGTCAGCGAACGAAGAAAATGAGGTACCGGTAGCTGGCGTGACGTCATAGAAGTGTATAGGTGGCATGTCACCTATGTAAAGAGAGGCAGACAGTTTGCTGCTGACGAAGGCATGGTCTTCTGAGAAGAGTGTTTTAATGTTCAATGTATGTGCAGCTCTAGTTGTCTGGTATAAAGCTGGGATGGTGGTTGGTTGCAGGTGCATAAAGGTTGAACCTGTTGGCGAGCGTGTCGAGTGGTGAATGGCGTCATGTCTGTATATGACGAGGATGAGGAAACACATCACCATGTGGGTACCGAGAGATTGGATTGGCTGGCACGGTAGCCTAGCCACTCTTGTTATCAAGAACAAAAAAGGGAGTTGTAATACCAAGAGAGAAAAACTGTATACATATACCGTAAAAAGGATCCTCGTAGTCATGACCCTGAAGGAATACATTATCGCAAGGCTATTCTATATCGTGACTAAATTCAATTTTATGTTGTTGATTACTGATATTGGACCACATCATTCAATTGTATGAAAGAATGCAAAAAAATACATGTGAACTTCCATCTGTAATATACAAAATGCAAATAACCTGTATTTCATTCCAGACTACCACAAGGCGATGCTGAGAAGAGTTTGATTAAGTTTATCTAAGCATTTCCAAAACACCGTTATCATTATCTTATCGCTACAATTGTGCAGATAACTGGCTGCCTCCTCTCGTTTGTGTATCCCCTTTCCGAGCGACACAAAACTGAATGCGAAAAGGCGACCAGGTCTCAATTTTGAATACGACGCGAACGACTCGTATTTATCCAAGGACGGCGGCTATGTTCCAGCCCAGTGATGGATGCTTAGAACAAGCCTGGTTTCGCACCGCTTCGATAGTGCTTACCCAACCAGGGAGTGAGAGAAAAAGGTGGGATAGTGCTTACCCAATCACAGAAATTCGTCAAACCATTCTGCGACTCGAGATCTTCTGTTGTAGTCACACCCCTCCCAGGTCTCGTCCTTCGATTAGCCAGGCCAGATCAACTCGAACTTTCCTACCCAGGTCCTCCAGATATACCTGACCCAAACACAGCCCTCTTGACGATTCGAATCGCGATACCTCCTCCAGCCAGCCGACGCAACAGACCAAGTTCCACATAAATTAGCCCTCGACATTCATAAGTCCATCGACAAATTTCTTCTCTGACAACTTACATTCGATAGTGGTGATTGATACACCTGACTGTCCTCTCCCAGCTAACCTAGTCCGCAAAACCGCTAGCTTGAGATTCCAGACGCCATCATGTGGGCTACTCAACGCGCTGCCACATTGGCCGTTGCGGGCATCGGCGTAGCGCTCGCCATCTTGTCGTGCTGCTACATGGCCGACAATTACCTCGTCATCTCGCATCCCACCCTCTGCACCGGCGTGTCGAACGCCACTCTCTGCTCCGAAGAGTTCCGCGCTGCGCGCCGGCAGCTCAGCGTCCTCCCGCAGACCACGGACACAGTCACAGCCGCCATGGTCTCCGCGGTGGCGGCGCAAGTCTCCGCGATCATCGATGCCGCCGCGGAGATCAAGCGCGCCAATGTCCGCGGAAACCACTTCATAAACGTCGTCGCGGACGACTGCGGCACGCAGGGCGGCATCGCGCTGCGGTACCTGGGCCGCACGCTGGACGCGATCGACACGGACAGCGCGCAGCACGATCGCGCGTTCTGGCTGTCCGCCGCCAGCACGCAAGTCGGCAACTGCGTCGACGGCTTCAAGACGCTCGCACCCTCTGCCACATTCCAGCCCGCATTCGTGCATCTCGAGGTTAGTTTCTTCCCCCCCTTTTCCTCTCCCTGCATCCCCCTTCCCCTCCCCCCCCTTCCCCTCCCCCTCCCTCCCCTACGCCCCAGCCCCCGCCCCCGTCCCTTCCCGTCCTGAGTCTTTTGCCAAGCGGACTGTTATCTCCACCCTTCGAGAGCTTGGACACAGCATGAATGCTCATTGTTAACCATTGTTCTTCGTCATAACAGTTCTTACTTCGCTTCAGCAAGGTTGTGACTGAGTCATCCGTTGTCTCATCCCGTCGCAGACCGTCGCCAATAAGGCGAGCGACACGCTGGAAGCCGTGGTCGCCATCGCCAAGAAGGCTGCAGCCGGCCCTCCCGAGCTCGGTCGCAAGCTCGCGTCGTCCGAGCCCGCTGACGTCGCACGAGGCGCCAAGTGGCTGGACGACGACTTTGTCGCACAGCTGCGACAGCTTCAGGCGGAGTTGAACGCCCTCGGCGACGGTGTTCACGAATACGTCGTACGGAGGGAGCTGCGACGCCGTCACGACGACGACGACGACGATGATGACGAGGATAAGAAGGACGAGAAGAGCAAGAAGAACAAGGGCAGCAGCGGCGGCAGCGGCGGCAGCAGCAACAAAAATAAGAACAAGAACAACAAGAGCAAGGGCAAGAGTAAGGGAAGCAGCGCGAAACCCGCTTCAGGTCCCATTCGCGCGAGCAAGGGATTGAAGGCCAACGCCGTCGTGAAGGGCAAGATCCAATCCGCCGTTGACGCCGCTCCAGGCGGTAGCCAATACGTGATCTACATCCCCGCCGGCACGTACCGCGAGCAAGTCGTTATAGACACCCCCGATATTATTCTCATCGGGGCCGGCGCCGGCGCTACAGTGATCACGTACGACGAGAGCTACGGCAGCGGGTCGAGCACGTTCGATTCGGCGACGGTCGGTGTGAACAGCGACCGTTTTGTCGCATTCGGAATCAAATTCGTGAACACTGCCGGCCCGGAGAACCACCAGGCTGTAGCGTTCCGCGCTACAGGCGACCAGTCGGCGGCGATCGACTGCGCGTTCGAAGGGTCGCAAGATACGCTGTACGTGGACGCGGGGCGGCAGTTCTACTCCAACTGCTACATCGGCGGCACGCAGGACTTCATATTCGGCGACGCGGCCGCCGTCATCCAGAACGCCAAGATCCAGCTGCATCCCAGCAAGTCGTTCATCACCCTCACCGCGTCGGGCCGCGCCAAGGACACGCCGACGGGGATCGTGATTCGCGACTCGGTGGTGAGCGCCGACAAGGGCGCGGCGAAGGCGTACCTGGGGCGGCCGTGGAAGAAGTGCGCGTTCACGGTCTTCGTGAACGTCGTGCTGCCGGCCGTTATCCAGCCCGACGGGTGGCTGTCGTGGAACGAGGGCAGCTGCATGTTCCTGGCGGAGGCCGGCAGCAAGGGCCCGGGCGCCAAGGGGGCGCGCGCCGACTGGGTGGACCCTGGGATCATCTCCAACGGAGCCTCCTACACCGCCGCTGCCTTCGCTGAAGTCAACTCCTGGCTCATCCTCTCCTGAAACCGCTTTGAACCGCTCCATACCGCCTGTGACTGTAGCGGACGGGATTAACTAAGGAGGGCGTCAGTCTTTGGGAATCGGGACACGTGACTGTAGTGAAGGTGCTTGTAGGAGCTGCATGGCTTCAGGTGGGTCCTGCTGCTATGGGCGCTAGAACTTAGTAGGCCAGGAAGGAAAATATATGTGAGGAGAATGCTAGGGCAAAGGGCAAGCTAGTAGCCCTGGTAGTGCACGAGGAGTTGCTAGTAGGGCAGGCAGGAAAAGAAATCCTAGTAGCGCTTGTAGCTTAGGCAAGGGGCTTGCTAGTACTTGCTGTGTAATAACTAACTTGTGAACAATAATCGAGCATATAAATGCTCACTAAATTTCCTCACCTGCTGCCTCACGTATTCAGACCTTCCCATTCAACAGCCTCACTTGCTCATCCCTTCCCACTCAACAGACTCACATGCTCATCCCTTCCCAAACTGTTTCCCGGCCCATCCCAATCCTATATCTGTTTCCCAACCCAGTCCGTTCCCATCCCGGCTCTCTGTTTCACACCCTAGTCCTTGCTCTCTGTTTTTCACCCAAGTCCCGGCTCTCTGTTTCACACCCTAGTCAAGGCTCTCTGTTTCACACCCTAGTCCCGGCTCTCTGTTTCACACCCTAGTCAAGGCTCTCTGTTTCACACCCTAGTCCCGGCTCTCTGTTTCACACCCTAGTCCCGGCTCTCTGTTTCACACCCTAGTCCTTCCATTCTAATGCCTCAAATACTCAAATCTTGCAATCCTGCTGCCTCACATGCTCATCCCCTCAAATCCGACTGCTACGGCCTCACATACTCATCCCTTCCAGTACTATTCCCTCACATACTCATCCCTTCCAGTCATATTCCCTCACATACTCATCCCTTCCAGTCATATTCCCTCACATGCTCATGGTTTCCAGTCATATTCCCTCACATGCTCATCCCTTCCAGTAATATTCCCTCACATACTCATCCCTGCCAGTCATATTCCCTCACACACCCAACCCTGCCAGTCATATTCCCTCACATACTCATCCCTTGCAGTCACATTCCCTCACATACTCATCCCTTACAGTCACATTCCCTCCCATACTCATCCCTTGCAGTCACATTCCCTCATATGCTCATCCCCTCCAGTCATATTCCCTCACATCCTCATCCCTTCCAGTCATATCCCCTCACATGCTCATCCCTTCCAGTCATATTCCCTCACATGCTCATCCCTTCCAGTCACATTCCCTCACATACTCATCCCTTCCAGTCATATTGCCTAACATACTCATCCCTTCTATTCATATCCCCTCACATACTCATCCCTTCCAGTCACATTCCCTCACATACTCATCCCTTCCAGTCATATTCCCTCACATACTCATCCCTTCAAGTCATATTCCCTCACATGCTCATCCCTTCCAGTCATATTCCCTCACTTACGCATCCCTTTTAGTAATATCCCCTCACATACTCATCCCTTACAGTCACATTCCCTCCCATACTCATCCCTTGCAGTCACATTCCCTCACATGCTCATCCCCTCCAGTCATATTCCCTCACATCCTCATCCCTTCCAGTCATATCCCCTCACATACTCATCCCTTCCAGTCATATTCCCTCACATACTCATCCCTTCCAGTCATATTCCCTCACATACTGATCCCTTCCAGTCATATTCCCTCACATACGCATCCCTTTTAGTCATATCCCCTCACATACTCATCCCTTACAGTCATATTCCCTCAAATGTTCATCCCTTCCAGTCATATTCCCTCACATACTCATCCCTTCCGACATTCCCTCACATACTCATCCCTTCCAGTCACATTCCCTCACATACTCATCCCTTCCAGTCATATTCCCTCACATGCTCATCCCTTCCAGTCATATTCCCTCACATACTCATCCCTTCCAGTCATATTCCCCCACATGCTCATCCCTTCCAGTCATATTCCCTCACATGCTCATCCTTTATAGTCATATTTCCTCACATACTAATCCCTTGCAGTCATTTTCCCTCACATACTCATCCCTTCCAGTCATATCCCCTCACATACGCATCCCTTTTAGTCATATCCCCTCACATACTCATCCCTTACAGTCACATTCCATCCCTTACTCATCCCTTGCAGTCACATTCCCTCACATGCTCATCCCCTCCAGTCATATTCCCTCACATCCTCATCCCTTTCAGTCAGATCCCCTCAGATACTCATCCCTTCCAGTCATATTCCCTCACATGCTCATCCTTTATAGTCATATTCCCTCCCATACTAATCCCTTGCAGTCATATTCCCTAACATATTCATCCCTTCCAGTCATATTCCCTCACATACGCATCCCTTTTAGTCATATCCCCTCACATACTCATCCCTTGCAGTCACATTCCCTCCCATACTCATCCCTCGCAGTCACATTCCCTCACATGCTCATCCCCTCCAGTCATATTCCCTCACATCCTCATCCCTTCCAGTCATATCCCCTCACATACTCATCCCTTCCAGTCATATTCCCTCACATACTCATCCCTTCCAGTCATATTGCCTCACATACTCATCCCTTCCAGTCATATTGCCTAACATACGCATCCCTTCTATTCATATCCCCTCACATACTCATCCCTTCCAGTAACATTCCCTCACATACTCATCCCTTCCAGTCATATTCCCTCACATGCTCATCCCTTGCAGTCACATTCCCTCACATACTCATCCCCTCCAGTCATATTCCCTCACATCCTCATCCCTTCCAGTCATATTGCCTCACATACTCATCCCTTCCAGTCATGTTGCCTGACATACTCATCCCTTCTATTCATATCCCCTCACATACTCATCCCTTCCAGTCACATTCCCTCACATACTCATCCCTTCCAGTCGTATTCCCTCACATACTCATCCCTTCCAGTCATATTCCCTCACATACGCATCTCTTTTAGTCATATCCCCTCACATACTCATCCCTTACAGTCACATTCCCTCACATGCTCATCCCTTGCAGTCACATTCCCTCACATGCTCATCCCTTGCAGTCATATTCCCTCACATACTCATCCCTTCCAGTCATATTCCCTCACATCCTCATCCCTTCCAGTCATATTCCCTCACATGCTCATCCATTATAGTCATATTCCCTCACATACTAATCCCTTGTAGTCATATTCCCTCACATATTCATCCCTTCCAGTCATATTCCCTCACATACGCATCCCTTTTAGTCATATCCCCTCACATACTCATCCCTCGCATTCACATTCCCTCACATACTCATCCCCTCCAGTCATATTCCCTCATATCCTCATCCCTTCCAGTCATATCCCCTCACATACTCATCACTTCCAGTCATATTGCCTAACATACGCATCCCTTCTATTCATATCCCCTCACATACTCATCCCTTCCAGTCATATCCCCTCACATACGCATCCCTTTTAGTCATATCCCCTCACATACTCATCCCTTACAGTCACATTCCATCCCTTACTCATCCCTTGCAGTCACATTCCCTCACATGCTCATCCCCTCCAGTCATATTCCCTCACATCCTCATCCCTTTCAGTCAGATCCCCTCAGATACTCATCCCTTCCAGTCATATTCCCTCACATGCTCATCCTTTATAGTCATATTCCCTCCCATACTAATCCCTTGCAGTCATATTCCCTAACATATTCATCCCTTCCAGTCATATTCCCTCACATACGCATCCCTTTTAGTCATATCCCCTCACATACTCATCCCTTGCAGTCACATTCCCTCACATACTCATCCCTTGCAGTCACATTCCCTCACATACTCATCCCCTCCAGTCATATTCCCTCACATCCTCATCCCTTCCAGTCATATCCCCTCACATACTTATCCCTTCCAGTCATATTGCCTCACATACTCATCCCTTCCAGTCATATTGCCTAACATACGCATCCCTTCTATTCATATCCCCTCACATACTCATCCCTTACAGTCACATTCCCTCCCATACTCATCCCTTGCAGTCACATTCCCTCACGTGCTCATCCCCTCCAGTCATATTTCCTCACATCCTCATCCCTTCCAGTCATATCCCCTCACATACTCATCCCTTCCAGTCATATTCCCTCACATTCTCATCCCTTCCAGTCATATTCCCTCACATGCTCATCCCTTCCAGTCATATTCCCTCACATACTCATCCCTTCCAGTCATATTCCCTCACTTATGCATCCCTTTTAGTCATATCCCCTCACATACTCATCCCTTACAGTCACATTCCCTCCAATACTCATCCCTTGCAGTCACATTCCCTCATATGCTCATCCCCTCCAGTCATATTCCCTCACATCCTAATCCCTTCCAGTCATACCCCCTCACATACTCATCCCTTCCAGTCATATTCCCTCACATGCTCATCCCTTCCAGTCATATTGCCTAACATACTCATCCCTTCTATTCATATCCCCTCACATACTCATCCCTTCCAGTCATATTGCCTAACATACTCATCCCTTCTATTCATATCCCCTCACATACTCCTCCCTTCCAGTCATATTCCCTCACATGCTCATCCCTTCCAGTCATATTCCCTCACATACTCATCCCTTCCAGTCATATTCCCTCACATCCTCATCCCTTCCAGTAATATTCCCGCACATACTCATCCCTTCCAGTCATATTCCCTCACATCCTCATCCCTTCCAGTCATATTCCCTCACTTACTCATCCCTTCCAGTCAAATTCCTCCACATGCTCATCCCTTCCAGTCATATTCCTTCACATGCTCATCCCTTCCAGTCATATTCCTTCACATGCTCATCCCGTCCAGTCATATTCCCTTACATGCTCATCCCTTCGAGTCATTTTCCCTTACATGCTCATCCCTTCCAGTCATATTCCCTCACTTACTCATCCCTTCCAGTCATATTCCCTCACATACTCATCCCTTGCAGTCATATTCCTTCACACACTCATCCCTTCCAGTCATATTCCCCCACGTCCTCATCCCTTCCAGTCATATTGCCTAACATACTCATCCCTTCCAGTCATATCCCCTCACATTTTCATCCCTTCCAGTCATATCCCCTCACATGCTCATCCCTTTCAGTCATATTCCCTCACATGCTCATCCCTTCCAGTCATATTCCCTCACATACTCATCCCTTCCAGTCATATTCTCTCACATGCTCATCCCTTCCAGTCAAATTCCCTCACATACTCATCCCTTCCAGTCATATTCCCTCACATGCTCATCCCTTCCAGGCATATTCCCTCACATGCTCATCCCTTGCAGTCATATTCCCTCACATACTCATCCCTTCGAGTCATATTCCCTCACACACCCAACCCTGCCAGTCATATTCCCTCACATACTCATCCCTTCCAGTCATTCCCTCACATACTCATCCCTTGCAGTCATATTCCCTCACATACTCATCCCTTCCACTCACATTCCCTCACATACTCATCCCTTGCCACTCACATTCCCTCACATACTCATCCCTTCCACTCACATTCCCTCACATACTCATCCCTTCCCGTCCAACTGCGTCACATGCTCATCCATAAATCCATGCTCACCCCTTCCAATTATGCTGCTGTACCGCCTAACATGCTCCTCCATACCATTCCAACTCCCTCACACCCGTTAGTAGTTGTGCTAGGAATTCATATCAGATTTCAGGTGCTACCTGGCACAATATTACTGTGGTGTTTGCAGCTCCTCTGGTTTTAACCTTGCCACAAGCACGCCCCTTGTCCACAGAATTACAAATAGTTATCTCCCTTCCTGCCCAACAAAATTCTAGCGCCAATAGCAGCCGAGTTGGATGGGAAGGCATGTGCATGTGTTGCAATAAGACAGGAAAATATGAGTATATGAGGAAGTTTGACTGGAAGGGTTGAGGACGCGAATATTTAGGAAGGAAAGCGATGAGCATTTGAGGCAATAGTATGAGGCTGTACTATTGAACGGAGGTGCAAGGGAGTTGGATGGGAAGGGATGCGTTTGAGAGGCAGCAGGGTTGAAAGGGGTGAGGATGGATCGTCACAGATGAGTATGTGAGGCAGTTGAATGGGAAGGAAGGGATGAGCTTGTGGGGCAGTAAAACTGTAGCATTACTAGGATGAGTAGCATTTGGTTTTGAAGGGATGCGCTTGTTGAAATTGCATTGTATGCTTTCTTGTTAATGAGGGACAAAGGCGTGGGTTGGGAATCAGAGGAAATGAGTGGCGTGGGTAACCGATAAATGATTGGAGAGAGAAACAGTGAGGAAGGATTGGGTTGGGAAACAGAGAGGAAGGATTGGGATGGTTTAGGAAACAGGTGGATGGGAAGGGATGAAGTTGTGAGGCAGGCGAAATGGAAGGGATGGTTGAATGGGAAGGGATGAGCAAGCGATGAGCGTACAAGGCTGTTGAATGGGAAGGGATGAGCAAGTGAGGCAGCAGGATTGGAAGGGGAAAATGCATTGAGCATCTAAATGCTGGCTTGTTGTTCACAGAAATTATACAGAAATTAGTTATATTACACAGAAATTACGGTAGCAAGCTCCTTTCCTAGGCTTCAAGTGCTACTAGCAACACTTCTCTCTTCCTGCCTGTCCTACTAGCAACTTCTCTTACTACCAGGGCTACTAGCTTGCCCCTTAGCATTCTCCTCACATTTTCCTTCCTGGCCTACTAAGTTCTAGCGCAAATAGCAGCAGGACCCACCTGAAGCCATGCCGTTCCTACAAGCACCGTCACTACAGTCACGTTTCCTGATTCCCCAAGGCTGACGCCCTCCTTAGAGAATCCCGTCCGATACAGTCACAAGCGGTATGGAGCGGTTCCAAGCGGTTTCAGGAGAGGATGAGCCAGGAGTTGACTTCAGCGAAGGCAGCGGCGGTGTAGGAGGCGCCGTTGGAGATGATCCCAGGGTCCACCCAGTCGGCGCGCGACCCCTTGGCGCCCGGGCCCTTGCTGCCGGCCTCCGCCAGGAACATGCAGCTGCCCTCGTTCCACGACAGCCACCCGTCGGGCTGGATAACGGCCGGCAGCACGACGTTCACGAAGACCGTGAACGCGCACTTCTTCCACGGCCGCCCCAGGTACGCCTTCGCCGCGCCCTTGTCCGCGCTCACCACCGAGTCGCGAATCACGATCCCCGTCGGCGTGTCCTTGGCGCGGCCCGACGCGGTGAGGGTGATGAACGACTTGCTGGGATGCAGCTGGATCTTGGCGTTCTGGATGACGGCGGCCGCGTCGCCGAATATGAAGTCCTGCGTGCCGCCGATGTAGCAGTTGGAGTAGAACTGCCGCCCCGCGTCCACGTACAGTGTATCTTGCGACCCTTCGAACGCGCAGTCGATCGCCGCCGACTGGTCGCCTGTAGCGCGGAACGCCACAGCCTGGTGGTTATCCGGGCCGGCAGTGTTCACGACCTTGATCCCGAATGCGACAAAACGGTCGCTGTTCACGCCGAGCGTCGCTGAGTCGAACGTGCTCGACCCGCTGCCGTAGCTCTCGTCGTATGTGATCACTGTAGCGCCGGCGCCGGCCCCGATAAGGATAATATCGGGGGTGTCGATGATAACCTGCTCCCTGTACGTGCCGGCGGGGATGTAGATCACGTATTGGCTGCCGCCGGGGGCAGCGTCAATCGCGGACTGGATCTTCCCCTTCACGACGGCGTTGGCCTTCAGTCCCTTGCTCGCGCGGATGGGACCTGAAGCTGGTTTCACGCCGCTGCCCTTGCTCTTGCTCTTACTCTTGCTCTTGCTCTTGCTGCTGCTGCTGCTGCCGCCGCTGCTACCCTTGTTCTTGCTCTTCTTGTCCTTCTTATCGTTGTTATCATTGTTGTCGTTATTGTCGTGGTGGTGACGGTGTCGCAGCTCCCGCCGTGCGACGTGGTCGTGAACGGCGTCGCCCAGGGCGTTCAGCTCCGCCTGAAGCTGTCGCAGCTGTGCGACAAAGTCGTCGTCCAGCCACTTGGTGTCTCTTGCGGGCTCGGAGGACGCGAGCTTGCGACCCAACTCGGGCGGGCCGGCCGCAGTCTTCTTGGCGATGGCGACGACGGCTTCCAGCGTGTCGCTGGCCTTGTTGGCGACAGTCTGCGGCGGGATGAGGGGCAACATATACGATTGAGACAAGACGTCACGTCACACGGTCTAACTGAATTTGTGCGAGACTGCGTTTGTTTTGTTTCGGAAATGAGCACTGAGCAATATTGCCGCCTGTTCTAGTGAAACAGTCGAAGCTCTCGAAGGTACGACTAGCAGCCCGCTTGGAAAAATTCAGGGGCAGGAGGGACGGGAGTGGGGGCGAAGGAAGGGCGAGGGAAGGGCGGGTATGGGCTAACCTCGAGATGCACGAATGCCGGCTGGAACGTGGCAGAGGGCGCAAGCGTCTTGAATCCGTCGACGCAGTTTTCGACTTGCGTGCTGGCGGCGGACAGCCAGAAGGCGCGATCGTGCTGCGCGCTGTCCGTGTCGATCGCGTCCAGCGTGCGGCCGAGGTACCGCAGCGCGATGCCGCCCTGCGTGCTGCAGTCGTCCGCCACGACGTTGATAAAATGGTTCCCGCGGACATTGGCGCGCTTGATCTCCGCGGCGGCGTTGATAATCGCGGAGACTTGCGCAGCCACGGCGGAGACCATGGCCGCCGTGACTGTGTCCGCGGACTGCGGGAGGACGCTGAGTTGCCGGCGCGCGGCGCGGAACTCTTCGGAGCAGAGAGTGGCGTTCGACACGCCGCTGCAAAGGGTGGGATGTGAGATTACGAGGTAATTGTCGGCCATGTAGCAGCACGAGATAATGGCGAGCGCCACGCCCATGCCCGCAACGGCCAATGTGGCTGCGCGTTGAATCCCCATGTTGGATACTAGGCTCTGAGGTCGAGTCCTCTCTTTTTGCGGAGTGAGAATTGAGTAGCTTGAAATCTGAACGGGAATGAGAACTAAATTCCACTACGTGCTGCGAGAGACTGTTGAGGTGACAGATTTTCACAGCTGATTTATGTTGCTCTGCTCTGGTGTGGTTGTTCAGTCACGAGAGAAATTTCGTCCGTCCAATTCAGCAAGGGTGGGCGCTTCGGCGAGTGGGGGATTAGGCCGGGGCGGAACGCCTGGTTGGTTGGTCTCGCAAATGTGTAGGTGGGGGCTGGGATGGGCGTGACTACAGAGAAAGCCGAGCCGCAGGGGGCTGTGATGCTGACTCTGATTGGTCAACCCCTCATTTGAGGTGTGGAAGAGCTGACGAAAGTGGCAGAGGATTTGGTGAACGAAATTCTGCGAGGTCCGCTAGAGTTTGTCGCTAGGGAGAGTTTGCGATCCCTCTTCACACTCTTTTCCGTCACATTCGTTTGTGTGCTGCTTCTCCCAAAAGATTCATGGTCTGAGTTGTTCAGCCCTCACCGTGTCGCTCCAACTAGCACTGCAGTACGGGACAAACGAGCAGTGACGAATGAAGCGTTCGCGTCACACCAACCCTTCTGCGAGAATGACTCGATACATTACACTCTTTTTAACCCCTCAGTCGTTTCCACACTCTGACTCGCGCTCCACTTCTCATAATAGTAAAACATATATATTTTTAGCTCAATTGTAGTTAATATGATTCTTGCTAAGCTTCTTTCGTTCTCTTATTCTTGTCACATTTTCTGCCATACGCATGTGAAGGCACATCGGTGATCCACGATTAAACAATGCGGCATATGAAATCGCTATATTTTGTGGAATGATGTGCCAATCTGGGTTCTAATATCTTGACGATGCCATCGTTCGTGCACTTCTTATGGGCTATTCGTCATTACAAGCACGTAAATTATTCAACCACAATCACGCAGTATTTGAAGAAATGGAATATCACCTCATAAACACTAGATCTGTCAACTAGCTGCAACTTTTCCAAGAGGGACCCGCACCGCAGCCAAGAAGTACCGCACCCCGGTCTACAGGTGATAGCGTTACTAAAAAATCAGAATCAAGCATGAGTGAGTACCGCCGGGGTTTCCTTTCCAAGAGGGCCCTGCACCTCAAGAACCCTGTTCCCACGTCATTAGTCTTGTTTTTTTAGCAACTTTAAATCAGCCTTGGATGATCAAACCAGATCAGATCAGACAGAAGCGTGAACCATAGGTGAGTCCCTAGCAGGGCTTCTCTTCGTTTCCTCCTCTTCATCACCACCCTCCTCCCCCTCGCTCTCCCTCACTGCCTTCCAGCATGGCTTATTCGCCCCTCCTATGCGCGCCTCTGCTGCCACTGGAACCCCTGGGGGAGGGAGGAGAGGAAGAGGAGAGAGGGAGACCGCAGCACAACCAGCTCATGAATGACTTTGACACACAGATTGGCCTCCAAACCCAGCCTCTGGTCCCACTGCCTTCTTACACGGTTTTTGAGGCGACTCAAAAAGAGGGAGATCACAGCACAACCAGCTTATGAATGACTTTGAGACAGTGACACATGGACTGGCCTCTAAGCCCCGCCTCTGCCCTAACTGCCTCCCAGCACGGTTTATTCCCTCCTCCTATGCGCGCCTCTGCTGCCACTGGAACCTCTGGGAGGGAGAGGGAAGGAAGGTGCCAAAAAGGGGCTGCACAAATGGAATGTGAAAACATGATCTCTGTTTTGACCTTGAAGCCCCTGTTTGTGAAACACAGCCTCTGTTTGTTTCAAACATGGATAAATCCCTTCCTTCCTCCCTCCACCAACCAACTGCAGCACTCTCCCTTTCATTACACTCACCTCCCTTTCATTACACTCACCCTCCTGGTGAAATATCCCCCACACTGTTGCTGTGCGTCCCGTCTGCACAGGGACACCAGAAAATATGTGATTATAACAGGCGGACCGGGGTGGAGGGAATGGAGGGGAAAGGGGGATGAGTGACAGTAACAAGTGTGATTGTAGTAAAGTGAGGGACAGGAAAATGGGTACCAGGAAAAAAGAGGGGAACAGAGAGGGTAGAGGGCAAGAAAAGAAAGGCAAGGCTCGAAAGGAGGGCATGGGGGTTGGCTGGTGGGTGGGGTGGGGGGTGGTGGGGAGTGGGGTGGGGGGGGAGGAGGGAGGGAAAGATACTCGCAGTACGAGTATCTGAGACAGGAAAAAGCGGCTCTTTCCAAAAATTATGCAGCAGGATTTCTCAGTTTTTCCAAACCTTGGCTATTTAAACAAACCTTGGCTATTTGAACTCGCGAAACTTCGTAGAAGGTGCCTTCCTGCCAATGCCGCTTCGCCACTCTAATGCCTTGCCCCCACGCCGGTCGCCGCCATAGGATATCCGCCAGATTCTGCTTGCGCCGCTTCTTGACTTGCACTTGCTTCAGAACCTTCGCATCGGTTTCCTGAGAACCCTCTGAAGCGATTTCAGTTTGATTTTGCGAGGCAGAAGATTCTTTTTCTGACGACGGGCTGCCCGGAAAAAGCGGAAGCGGTTTCAGCCCCAAGCTGATTAATAGCGAATCGGCACCGGATACTTCGATGGGTTTCGTCGCGGCGGCAGATCCGGCGGCTAAAGCGGCGGGAGAAGCAGCGGGAGAAGCGGAGAAGGTCGAATGGATGGAGGTGGATGAGTATCGGCATGAAAGGAAACGCGGCGCGGCAGGGAAAATGCGCGAAGGCGGGTGCACCGGTGCGGGAATTTGGGCGGAGGCTACGGGCGGTTCGGCTAGAGGGGGGGAGATCGGCGCGGAGCAGAGGCCAGGCGGCGGAAGCCCGTGTCGGGGAAGGCGGAGGGAGCTTTGCGCGGATTGCGCGCTTTGCGCGGTGAAGACGGTGCGCGTGAGCCCACGGCGCAAGACCGCAGTAGCCAGGCGACGCAAATCATCGCCGCGAGGCATTTCGAGTCTGCGAGGTGCTCCGCGAAAAGCGGCGGAAACTGCGGAAGGAGGAGTGACAGGACGGGACAACAAGAATATAGAGGCGGCACAGGGAGAAAAACGCGGGAATCAGCAGTGAAAAATACTCAATATATTCCAACCTCGGTAACAGCTCGGTGGAATAAGATTCGACCACCAACATATGCAAATTGTGTATCAGGGAAGTATGTTAAAGCCGGAAGCCCAAATTGCACAAGTTTTAAAAGGATGACGCGAGGGGTTTTTTCTGGTTTGGGTTTTGGCGATTGATTTCGATTTCGGGCATTTCGTTTTTTTCGCCAAACCCAACCAGCCCACGTATTTCGCCGTGGGGGTTGTGTCAGCACCCGAAAGTCCCAAATTGCAGGTGCGCTACTTGTCAACGCTTGCACACTGCACTTCGTCAAGTTTTAAAAGCATGACCCACGCGCCTCGCAATTTGGGACTCGGGCTTTAAAGAATCTCAAATTTGCACTACACTCAAACACCACAACTGAAAGACTCCAAACAGAACATTTCGACCTAACCACTTGGTAAAATCATCATAAACAAAAAAATCACCTCATACCGGTACCTACAGCTAACAGCACATTCATGTTGGTAGACATTCAATCCAATTATGAAGGAGCCGCACACACAATGTCTACCTAACCATCTCGAAGGCCTCAACACACTTTCTCACGTTTGGAGTCAGGCATAATACGGTAGTTGAGATTTTGAGCGTTCATTCAATATACTATTGCTCAACCTGTTGCCTCAAAGTTTCAAACATTCTCTTCCTCCAACACCAGCCAGCTGAGACCATCCCGCCATATCGCCTGCAGGAGCGTAGCGAAGCGAAACGCTCAGATTCAGCCTCCCAATAACAATTGCCCCAGAGGCACGTCTATATCTGCATCTGCTGCTGCGGCTGCTGCTGCGGCGGCTGCTGCTGCTGCTGCTGCTGCTGCTCTCACACACTCTCCCTCCCATCACACACCAGCCAGCTGAGACTGTCCCGCCATGTCACCTGCAGGAGCATAGCGATAAGCTCGAACACTTACACACCCGGCGTTGAGGGTTCTCTCTTTCTCTCTCCCTCACACATTTCATCTCTCCCTCCCATCACACAGCAGCCAGCTGCGACCATCCTGCCATGTCGCCTGCAGGGCGTAGCGATACGCTCTAGTTCAGCCCTGCCCAAGAGGTACGCCTACATCTGCTGCTGCTGCTCTCGCTCTCCCTCCCCCTCACACTCCAGCCAGCTGCGACCATCCCGCCATGTCACCTGCAGGAGCGTAGCGATACGCTCGAACACGGCCCGCCAGTGATAATTGCCCCAGAGGCACCTCCACATCCGCCCCTGGTGCTGCTGCTGTGGTGGTGGCAGCGGCATTGGGAGCAAACCCTGAAGAGGTATACGCACCACCAGCACCAGTAGCAGCAAGACCACCAGTAGCAGTAGCAGCGACTGCATTTGAAGCAGCAGAACCGCCAAAAGCAGATGAAAACATGGCAGCTGCAGCAGAGGTAGCAGAGGAGGAGTTAGGACCAGGAGCAGGGGACGGAGAGGAGGAAGAGGAGGTAGAGGAAGGGGTGGTGGTGGTGGTGCTGGCATCTTCTTTGGAGGAATAGAGATCGCCTATCAGCTCAATGGAAAGGATTCTGATGCCTGCGATTGGTCGAGAGAAGTCGAAGTAGAGCGGCGTGTTTGGCCGGGCAGCGGGCAGAATAAATTCCGTGATGATCGTGGCAGGGCCAAAAGAGTCCTGCGAGGGGGAAGGAAGCAGCGGAGAGGAGAGAAACGGGGAGGGGAAGGGTGGGAAGAGAGGTTTGAGACGCCTCATGAATAAATTTTGTAATGGTGGTGGTAGGGACCAAGGAGTTCTGGGAGGGGAGCTGGAGGGGAGAGAGCGGGTGGAGAGAGGGAACTCGAAGAGGAGCGAATGGTTGGGGGGAGGGGAGTGGGGTTTACAAAGAGAGGAAAAAACTAAAGGTGATTTTTTCTGAGTTGAGATGGGAAGTGAGGTAAAGGAGGAGTTGCAAGGTGATTCACACTACCCAAAATGGGAAGTGAGGGAGGAGTGAAACTGTGAATGTGAAGATATGGAAGTGAGAAGCGTACTGTGTGGCTGATTGCCCACCTGCCGAGCCGATACCCTGAGCCGGAACGGGACGACAAACGCCGCCCACTCATCCATGAGCCCGCCCCGCGCCGCCCGAGCCAGCGGGCCGCCGCCCGCTGCCCCGGGCAGCGAAAGAAACATCCCAGCGGAGCGGTCCAATGGGAGCGCGTCTAGTCGGATGCCCGAGATTGGAGGAGAGGAGAGTGGCAGAAGAAGTTCCAGGATCCTTCCTCCTGCCCACACTCTCTCCCCTTCCACAGGGGTCTGAGAGAGAGAGGGTGATAACCGGGATTGGGGAGGCAAGGGGAGAGGAGTCTGTTGTGTATTCCCTGAACGATCCTTTTGAGGCACCTCAAAAGTCGCCTACATCGAGAAATTCCAGGATCCTTCCTCCTGTCCACTCTCTCCCCCATTCCACTGGAGTCTGAGGGAGAGAGATCGTGAGAGTAATGGCAGGGAGTGGCAGAAGGATGGATGACAGGGCAACAGAGGGTAAACAAGAAATCTTACAAAACAAGAGTCTTACAATACAAGAAATTTTAAGAATTCTTACAATACACCGACAACAAGAAGTTTCAAGGTCCTTCCACACTCTCTCCCCTTCCACTGGGGTCTCTGAGAGCGAGGGAAATCAAACAAGGAATAACGACAGGGGAAATGTGTGTAAGAAGAACAAAAGCTGAAATGCCAACAAGAAGAAGTTTGATTTACTGCATTAGCGCCCTCACTGCTGTAGCAACGGTATAGCTCGGCTCACATACCCGCGATCGGCTCATTGGTGCTGGGGCCTCCAGAAACTGCTGATACTCCCACCTACTCGTGCCACCAGCAGCAGCACCCACAGCACCCACAGCACCAGCAGCACCAGCAGCACCTGCAGGCCCCAAAGTCCCAACAGCAGCAGCAGGGGCACCACCAACGACTGCTCCCATGGGCACAGCAGCAGCCCCACTGGAGGTCGCGGGATCAATTCCTGCCGGGTCACCAAATATTTTCTGCCCGTAAACGCGGATTCTGCGAGCCCAGATGCAGGATGCTGTAGTGCCGGGCTGGCGGATTTCGGGCAGGAGAAATTTCAGCCAGATGATCCGGCAGGGGGCGGCGGCGGCGGGCAGGGTGTAGGATAAGATCAGCTCGGAGTGTGGATTTGATTTGGTGTCGGAACGGGCGGCAGCGGCGGTGGAGGGGAGGTCCCAGAGGCCTATTGTGGTGCGCTCTGATTGGTCGATGGTGGTGCTGAGGGAAATACGGACCTGCAACAAGGAGGAGATGGAGGGGAGATGAGCAGTGAAGGACGATGCAAGTGACAAGGGCGGGCATGGAAAAAAAATAGCTACCTCCACAGCACAGCGCTGTTGAGTGAACTTTTAGACCGGCACGAGGGCAACTACCACAGCAGTGAGATTGGTTGAGTCGACTGGAGAGGAGATGATTTGAGGATTCGAAGAAGTCTCAGGAAGACTCACCTTGGGGGTGTGATGGGGCGTGTACTGAGGCAGGCCCGAGTGCAGCACAACGCGAGAGACAAGCGCGGGCGTGGAGAGCACGATTGCGATTTCCACAGCAGTGAGATCGGAGGGGGCTCGCCACACGGAGGTGAGAGGGGAGGAAGAGGTGGGAGTTGAGGGTGGGAGGAGAAGCGAGTTGGCGGGGGCTGCTGACGCATCTGAGGGGACCTGCACGTGTGTGCGAGGGAAGGAGAGGGGGGGGGGAAGACAGTAGAGGTGAAACACAAGGGCGGGCGTGGAGAGCACTACGGCGATTTCCACAGCAGTGAGATCGGAGGGGGCTCGCCACACGTGAGAGAGCGTGGAGAGAGAGGCGGGTGGGAGGAGGAGCGAGTTGGCCGGGGCTGCTGACGCATCTGTCTGTGGGGACCTGCACGTGTGTGGGCAGGGGCAGCAGTGTCAAGGTGAGGGACAGGGGAGAGAGGGGCGGGAGAGGAGGCGGGGAGGAGGAGCGAGTTGGCTGCGGATGTACCTGTGGGGGCGAGGGACCTGCACGTGTGTGCGAGGGAAGGAGGGTGGTGGAGGGGACAGCAGAGGTGAGAAAGCGGGGAGAGGGAGGAGGGTGGGAGGAGGAGCGAGTTGGCAGGGGCTGCGGATGCACTGTGGGGACCTGCACGTGTGTGCGAGGGAAGGAGGTGGGGGCGAAGGGGACAGCAGAGGTGAGGGGCAGGACAGAGGGGGGCAACAGGTGAACAGTGAAGGTGAGTCACAAAAGCAGGCGAAGAGAGCACGAGGGCGATTTCCACAGCAGTGAGATCCGAGGGGGCTTGCCAGATGTGAGAGAGAGGGGCGGGAGGGGAGGCGGGGAGGAGGAGCGAGTTGGCAAGGGCTGCTGAGGCGCATGTGTTGACTTGCGTGTAGGTGAGAGATGGAGGGAAGGGGCAGCAGTGTCAAGGTGAGGGACAGGGGAGAGAGGGGCGGGAGCGGAGGCGGGGAGGAGGAGCGAGTTGGCGGGGGCTGCTGAGGCGCATGTGTTGACCTGCGTGTAGGTGAGAGATGGAGGGGGGGACATTTGAGTCGACTCACAATTCTTGAAGGAAGGGGGGGATGCTAAAGGTGAGACAGGAAGGAGGGAAAACACTCGAATGAGAGGAAAAACTCGAATGAGAGGGCAAACACTCGAATGAGAGGAAAAACTCGAATGAGAGGAAAAACTCGAATGAGAGGAAAAACTCGAATGAGAGGAAAAACTCGAATGAGAGGAAAAACTCGAATGAGAGGAAAAACTCGAATGAGAGGAAAATCTCGAATGAGAGGAAAAACTCGAATGAGAGGAAAAACTCGAATGAGAGGAAAAACTTGAATGAGAGGAAAAACTCGAATGAGAGGAAAAACTCGAATGAGAGGGCAAACACTCGCCTCCACACCAGCACGTACCGAGAAGAGCAGGCCAGCATGTGGCAGCTCTGCCAAAGACAACCAACCTTCAAGCTACCTACCTACCCTAGGGAAAACACCAACCGCAATACAAATGCCTGCCTTCATACCAGCAACCGCCCCTGTACCAGCACGTACTGAGAACAGCAGGCCAGCATGAGGTAGCTCTGCTAGAGACACCTCCTCCCCTCCATACCCTCCTCCTCTCGACATCACTGGTACCACAGGCGCCTCTTGCCACTCCCCTCCATCCCTCCTTTCTCTCCCTGCCCCCCCTCGCCTCCCTTCCCTCTCTTCTCCCTTCTCCCCTCCAAAATCTTCCCTCCCCCCGCTCCTCATTCCGTCCAAACCAGCGCAGCCCCAGTCCCGAGCCTCAGCCACGGCTCTCCCGAGCATGTCGCGCCGCCGCCGAGCCTGCAACTGGCGCACCCGATGCAGGAGCACAGCATTGGAAACAGCAGGAGGGCAGCACTCCCTGCATATGGGAGCATCTAGAGGCCCAGGCCTCCCAGGCCCTTCCGTTGCTCCCCCTCCTCCTATCCCTTCACCCCCCACTCCTCCTCCTGCTCCTCCTGCTCCTACTCCTGCTGATGAGGAAGACGAGGAGCTTCCTGGAAGCTTCCAGCCTCCAGCCGAGGCTAAACCCGAAAGAGAGGAAGCGGAACCACTTTTGATCACCTTACCCAAGCCACCACCAATACCGCCGCCGCCGCCGCCGCTGCTGCTGCTGCTGCTGCTGCTGCTGCTGCTGTTACCACCCACGCTGATGATACTGTTGGTGCTGATGCTCCGAGTGCCACCCGAACCAGTGATGCTCCCATTGCTGCTAGCCCCGGCGAGAAACCCGCTTCCCGGACCTGCCAGGCAGGCTCGGCAGGCCCGCCGGCGGCACCAGCTGCAGGCTGGGAGGCCCCGCCGAACCTCCATGTCCACATCGTCTGAACCGCCTCCCGAGGTCTGGCCACTGGTTCGTCCCGTGCCACTGCTTTCCGAGCCTCCCGCACCGAACCTAACATCACAGTTTGGGCCGATACAATCCAAACCAGGACTAACACACCCCCAACCTGTGTACTGGCCATGGGGGGCCCATATGTGTGCACACGACCTACCCTTGCCCAGCTTACCCAAGTTGCCCTTATCTCCCTCCTCTCCCTCCTCTCCTTCCTGTCCCTCATTCCCCTCCTCTCCTTCCTCTCCCTCATATCTCTCATCTCCCAACCCCTCCAATAGACCGTTTCCTCTCCACCAGTCACACTCCTGCTCCCCCTCCCCTCTGCCATTAGAACCGCTTTGTATTCCTTCCTCCCCCACCCTCTCATTGCTCCTCCCCTCCCCTCCCTCCCTTCCTTCGCCTCCTGCTCCCCCTCCTCCCTTCTCCCTGAACCCCATCGCCCCTATCTCAGCATCCTCTCTCGCAGTGAGGCACGCGCCTGCCAGGCTGGCAGCCAGCTGGCGGCACAGCAGCGCGTCGGGCACGCTGACGTGGCGATTGGGGTCGAGGAGGGGTGCGGGGGTTGTTGGGAGGAAGGGGGAGGGGGAGAGGGAGGAGGAGGAGGTGGAGGATAAGGAAGTGGAGGAGGGGGAAGGGGAGAGGAGGGCGGAGAGGATGGAGTCTCGTTGGGAGGAGGAGAGGGAGAGGCGCAGGCGAGCAATTTCAAGCTCCATGGCTGTTGGGAAGTCGATGGACTGGAGTTGCTGGTTGGATGGGACGGAACGGGGCACGAGGGAGAGAGAAGGGGAGTAATAAGAGTGGGTTCACCGGGAACTTGGAGGAGAGTAGGGTCAAGAACGCGAAGGTTGATTGATACATAAACGAAAGGAAGGAAACCAAGGGGCAAGAAACGGGAAGAAAAAAGGGTAACGTGGAGTGGCCTGGCCGGATTATAGAAAGCACGTTCTTAAACGGGTTCCAATGCTCCCGAACTAGCAAGTACCTTCTTGGGCACCAAAACTTTTCGTAGCAGCTGCCCATAAGCAGCCGCACCCCATTGCTCACACACGTCCTCACTGACCCCTTGAGCTGTTCTCACTATCCTCTCCACCTCCTCCTCCTCCTCCCTCTCCTCCCCTCGCTCCTTCTCTTTCGCCCCTTCCGCTCCTCCCCTCCCTGGTTCCCCTTCCCTTTCCTGTAACCGCACTGCTGAGCCTGCTCCAGTCACATGCGAACCCACACCCCCCCTTCCCTGGAAACCAGCACCATTCCCTTGAAGCGAATCGAATACACCGCCCTTTTGAGAATTCTCAAAAGTGACTCCTGTATAGCTCTCCTGCTGCCTTGGTGCCTGCTGGGCAGCGGATATACCGCCCCCCTGCTGGGCAGCGGATATACCACTCCCCTGCTGGGAAGCGGATATACCACTCCCCTGCTGCTCCCTTTGATCGAGCTGTTCTGGGCTGTGAGGTGGGGACGATGGTGAGTCAGCTTCTGATGCCATGAGAGGGTGCCACGTGGCAGCTGCTGGCTGGCTGACTGCTGGAGGATTGAAAGAGGCCCACTCAAGGTCAGCAGCAGTAGATGGAGCGGCTACTGCTGCTCCTGGTGGTGGTGCTGCTGCTGCTGGTGGTGCTGGTGCTGGTGCTGTCAGCGCTGCTGGTGCTGCTGTTACTGCTATATTTGGGGCTGGTGCATCAAAGGACATCCACCCACCAGGCTGACTGCTGTTGCTGCTCGCCACGGTGCCGCTGGCATTAGTGCCACTAAAAGTTGTGCTCGTATCAAACGATTCCCACCCACCCGGTTGCTTGCTGCTGTCTGCAGCACTGGCCACACCGAAAGGATTATTAGAAGCAGTATTGTCAGCACTGCTGCTGGTGCTACTAGTGGTTTGGAAGCCCCCACTATCAGAAGCTCCAAAAGACTCCCATCCCCCTGGTTGGCTCACACTCATCCCTGCTCCCGTCCCTGTTGCTCCTGGTCTCAGTCCCACTCCACTTGCTCCCATGCTTAGCCCTCCCACCAAGCCTACCAGATCAGCCTCGGCAGCAGATCCCAGGGCTGCCGAGCCAGGTACGGACGCAGGTTCGGCGAAAGGGTCGGTGAATCCAGAAGTGAACGGATCAACCTGTCCAGTTGTACCTCCACCAGAAGCAGACAAAGACGCTGGTCCAAAGGGGTCAAAACCTGCAGCAGTCCCAGCAGCAGCAGAAGTGGCAGCAGCTGTAGCAGCTGTAGCAGCAGGAGAGATTGATATCCAGCCACTAGAAGTCAAATCCGCTGTCGTATCTGCTGCAGTAGATGCAGCGGTGGTGCTCGTGCCTGTATTGAATGTGCTTGTAACGGGTCCAGAAAAGAAATCATCCATGAGGTTCGCCGAGCCCGAACCTGTGGCCTCCATAGCCTGCATCATGCAGTTCGGCGAGCTCATCAGGTCCGGAACCAGGTTCGGCACTACCGAACCTGGTGCAGCCGAGCCTGGCGCATCAAGTGACTGGAAGTCGAGAAAATCCCGAGGTTCGGGAGGAGGAGGAGAAGGGTGTGTGGTGGGGTGTGAGGAAGCGAGAGCGGCAGTGCGAGGGGGCTGCATTGGAATAGCATCGTCCATAAGATTGGCCAATGGCGAGCCGCCACCTGGCATCCATGTCGCTGTCGGTGCAGCAGCAGCTGTAGCGGCTGTAGCAGCAGCACCACCATCATCTGCAGTGGCTGTACCACTAGGAGCAGCAGGCGCAGTAGGGTCGGTGGTAGGAGCAGCAGGAGGAGGAGAGGGGAGAAGGGAGAGGATGGATGGACAAGCACGGTGGGCGGCAGAAGAGGAGGAAGAGACGGAGGGAATGCGCTGAAAGTCATGGCGTGTGGGCGTTATGCCTAGGACCTCGATCTGTTGCCGGAGGAGGGGAGGGGGATAACATGCAAAAAGGAGAAGTTTGGGTTTGCTGAGTGTGGGATAAAATACACCTATGGAGGAGGAAGAGACGGAGGGAATGCGCTGAAAGTCCTGGCGTGTGGGCGTTATGCCTAGGACCTCGATCTGTTATCAAAAGGAGGGGGATAATACGCAAAGAAGAGAAGTGTGGTTGTGCTGATTGTGATGCACGCACAACTATGGAGAGGGGAGGAGGGAGAAGTGGAGGCGGAAGGAGAGGCAAGGTACTAAAAGTCATGATGTGTGAGTGCTAATGTATGTTTTTTGAGAATTCTAAAAAACAAAATACATGATGTGTGAGTGCTAATGCCCAGAACCTCCTCCACCTGTTGAAATGGGTGGGGGTAGATACAAGGGGAAAGCAGAAGGCGGATAGAAGGTGAGAGAGACAAGGCATGGGGTAGGCACATGTTACAGTGTTACCACAAACACAACAGACGCGGTGACCAGTGCACCTGTCCAAGAGTCCTGAGGGAACCAGAGCTGCCAGCACCGCCACCGCCAAAAGCAGCAGCAGCAGCAGCAGCAGGCGGAGAATAGCAGGCGAGGGGGGCAAACCCTAGACGGATATTACAGAGTTACAACAAACACACCAGGTGCAGCAACCCTCTTACCTGTCCCAGAGTCATTGGGGAACCGGAACTGCTAGTACCGCCACCGCCGCTGGCACCACCAAAGGCAGCAGACGCAGCAGCAGGCGGATAGCAGCAGCAGGTGAGCACTGAGCGACACAAAGCGGGTCAAGAAGTCGATTCTCCCATCGCCCTCCTCTGAGTAATCGTGCAGCAAAGACGAGTATACTGCCCCTCTCCTCTGATATTCTCAAGATGTGGCAACCACCGTACCTGGCAAAAAGGCAAGGGGGACCCCTGAAGCGTACCTGCCCAAGAGTCATGGGGGAACCAGAACTGCCGGTACTGCCACCGCCACCGCCAAAGCAAGGGGTAGAGCAGTGTTACAACAACCACACCAGGTGCAGCAACCCTCTTACCTGTCCAAGAGTCATGGGGGAACCCGAACTGCCGGTACCGCCACCGCCGCTGGCACCACCAAAGGCAGCAGAAGCAGCAGCGGGCGGATAGAAGGTGAGCGAGACAAAGCGGGTCAAGAAGTCGATTCTCCCATCGCCCTCCTCTGAGTAGTCGTACAGCAGAGACGAGGACACTGCCCCTCCCCTCTCATACACACCCTGCTGCTGCTGATATCCAATTCCTTGCTGTTGCTGCTGATACCCACTGGCCTGCTGCCCCATGTAGCCCTCCACAAACACAGGGCCTGCTGCAGACCCAGATTTGCCGTAGCCCAAAGGACCCCCAGTCACCACCCCTGATTCGTCGTTCTTGCGTGCCGCAGCAGAAGCAGAAGCAGGAGTGGGAGCGGAAGGACGGGTGGGCTTGGGAGCAGGGAGGGGGTACTGCAGGACTGTGCCGGTGGCGCAGCGCGGGATGGTGAGGCCCTGCAAGGGTGGATAGAGATGGAAGAGAGGGGGGGTCGCAGGGGATTGAAGCAGACACTGATTGCATCCAGCTTGGGAGCAGCAGGGAGGGGGTATTGCAGGACTGTTCCGCTGGCGCAGCGCGGGATGGTGAGGCCCTGCAAGGGTGGATAGAGATGGAAGAGAGGGGGGGTCGCAGGGGATTGAAGCAGACACTGATTGCATCCAGCTTGGGAGCAGCAGGGAGGGGGTATTGCAGGACTGTTCCGCTGGCGCAGCGCGGGATGGTGAGGCCCTGCAAGGGTGGATAGAGATGGAAGAGAGGGGGGGTCGCAGGGGATTGAAGCAGACACTGATTGCATCCAGCTTGGGAGCAGCAGGGAGGGGGTATTGCAGGACTGTTCCGCTGGCGCAGCGGGGGATGGTGAGGCCCTGCAAGGGTGGATAGAGATGGAAGAGAGGGGGGTCGCAGGGGATTGAAGCAGACACTGATTGCATTCAGCTTGGGAGCAGGGAGGGGGTACTGCAGGACTGTTCCGCTGGCGCAGCGGGGGATGGTGAGGCCCTGCAAGGGGCGTGAGCGGGGAGTGGGAATGAGAGTAGGAGAGAGAGAAGGAAAAAACGTGAACGAGGTGAGAATATTGGCAAGACTGGGAGCAGGGAGGGGGTACTGCAGGGCTGTGCCACTGGCGCAGCGGAGGATTGAGAGGGCCTTGAGGGCCTGCAAGCAGAAGACCAACCACTCACCTCAGCAACTAAATGCAGGGAGTCGATAGTCCTTCCCACACGCACGTCGAAGCGGGGCGGAGCAAGAGAGTCATCAGCCCCATGGGCAACAGTGAGCAGCACGTGGGTCACATGACAGGGCAGTGCCACACTCACATGCACCTCCACCAGTGGCACCCACCCCGGTACCACCCACACCATCCCCTTACCGCCCGCACCAGCACCACCGGCACCAGCACCGGCGGCAGCACCGGCACCATACGAACTGATCAGCGCGTCGGTCCGGTACAGACTCGGGAACAGGCTCGGGACCGGCCGGAGGACATGCGCGTGCCCCGAGCCTCCTCCGGCGGAGGACGGCAGGGAGACGGTGAGAAGCGGGCGGTCGGGCAGCGCGAAGGAAAAATACTTGTGCCGGCGCAGCCCGAGAAAAACCTCCAGCTGCCTCTGCCTGGTAGCATCCCAAACCAGATTCAAAAACCTCCTCTGGAGGGATATTCCGATGTTTGTCGCGCTGGCAGCGGCACCTTTCTTGGCCTTGCTAGGATCGCTGCTGAAGATGTGGATGATGTGGGAGTGCATGGCCCGAGAGCCGGTGTAGAGAGTGGCGTGCACGTCGCCGGCTATTGAGAAGAGGTCTGCGACGGCTGTGACGGCGGATGGGAGAACCGTGGCTTGGAATTCCCTCACACTCATGTCTAGAGAGGCCCAGGCGTGAGAGAGAGTGGAGGGGAGCAGCGGGTGCTGAATCTGCTGCTGCTGCTGCTGCTGCTGCGAATTGGGAAAGGAGGAGGAGGAGGAAGTGGGGAAGGTGGCGGCGCGAGGAGGGGGCGGGCAAGGGTGGGTCCAGGTGGTTTTACGGGTGTTGTGGTCTATGTAAAACACCTTGCTGCGGGACGGGTCTCTCCTCATCTCCCACCCGGGAGGCAGCGCTGCTGCTAGTGCGTCTTCCTCCTCCTCCTGTGTTGGCGCCCTGGTAGCACCTCCACTCCATCCTCCTGCTCCTCCTGCTCCTCCTGCTCCTCCTCCTCCCGTTCCTCCTCCCCCGTCCCCTCCCCCAAACGCTGCGCTGTAATACTGGGAAAACTCGCTCCCAAATCCGCTGACTGCTGCTCCTCCTGTGCTTCTGCCTGGCATGGTACCCAACCCCCCTCCTGCTCCACCTCCTCTAGCCCATGCGGCATCCAGGGATATTCCCAGGTGCTGGCACTGTTGCACAAACACCTGACAGGACGATACGGGACGGGGAGACACAGACCAGGTTCTTCTGAGTCGACTCAAAACGTGGTGTCTTGCGAGTCAAAAGGCACGTGCGTCGACTCTAAAGACACTATGTTTCTACCTTTGAGAATTCTCACACGTGTGTGCCCATCCGCCCCACCTGCAGGGATCCAAAGAGTCGGCACACTTGAATCACACCACCTCAAACACCCCTCCCTCCAACCCCACGTTCTTAATCACTGCCTGATCACCCGCTCCCCTCTCCTCTCCCCCTCTCTCACCTGCAGCGCGCCAAAGAAGCTGGCAACGTTGGTGCGGTCGAGGGAGTCAGCGCAGTTGAATCGCACCATGCCATGCTGTCGCCTCACCACCTCAAATTTGTCCCTTGAAGCACATGCTCTACTCTGCCTGTCCCACCTGCACGGCCCCAAAACCTTTTCAAGCTGCCTCACCTGCAGGGCGCCAAAGAAGCTGGCAGCGTTGGTGCGATCCAAAGAGTCAGCACAATTGAATCGCACCATGCCTTGCTGCCGCCTCACCACCTCAAACACCCCCCCCTGCAACCCCACGTTCTTTATCACCTGCTGCTCGCCCACTCCCCCTTCCTCTCCCCCTCCTGCATTCCCACCCGCCCCTCCCCCACCTGCAGCCCCTCTTCCACCGAACGTCCCCCCTCCACCTGCCACTCCTCCTGATCCAGTTGCCACCTCCCCCGGGTGCCACCTCCCCAGGGTGAACCCAATCCCCTGCAGAGACACCTTAAGCCGCTGCCACAGCCCCTCCACAGTTGCCGCCTCCCCCACCGCCCTGGTCATCGCGTGCCAGTCGTACGTGAATAAGTCGAGCGACGCCGCCCGCAGCTCCGGGCGGCAGCGTGCGGAGCGGACGGCCTGCTGGAAGTGGTCGGAGAGAAGAAGCTCGGGTTTGCCGACCCCGATGCGCAGGAGGTTCACGCAGACTATGGGGAACTTTCGGGGTGGCGGGAGGGCGGCGAGAGAGGAGGGATGAGAGGAGGATTGAGAGGTGGAGCGAGAGGAGTGAGAGGAGTAAGGGGAGGAGGGGTCAGAGGAGAGAGAGGAGGGGGAGTAGCGACGTAGCAGGCGGGCAAAGTACGGAGCAATCCCTTCCGCCTGAGTCTCCGCTACGAATATCTCTGCATCCTGGATAGACGATTTGATCTCCGCCCCCCACCATATGGGCACCGTCCCCCGCCGCCAGATAAACGTTGAATACTCCACTGGAGGTCCCGGCTGTCCTGGTGCTGGTGCTGGGGATGGGGATGGTGATGGGGATTGATAGGAGGAGGGGTAGGAGGAGAGGGAGGAGAGCGAGGAGGAGGGGGAGATAGAGGGAGAGGAGCCTGAGGAGAAACCTGGAGATGAAGAGGAGAGGTTTCCAGGTGGAGGAGGGACCCACACGATCTGCTCGCATTCCACCTCGTTGCCTGTCCCGGCAGCTGTGTTGATTCCGCGCGCCAGGTACCGCGTCCCTGGATGCAGCCTGCTCCGCCGCGCCAGGGACACCACGTGCGCCAGGCGCGCGTTCGCGTCGGAGAACGCGCGCAGCTCCGCAAACCCCTGGAGAAGTACCGCGCAGCCCCCCGCGTGCGCGCGCAGCCCCCCCAGCGCGCGGAAGGGCGCGGAGAGGAACTCGTTCCATGCGAATTCCCAGTCTGGGTCCCATGGAGCGTGGGTGCTGGGAAATGGTCGCGTTATGTCTCTAGTCTCGCAGAAATAGTGCAAATCGGCGATTGACACGTCAGCTAGGTCCTGCACGGCTTTGGATTCGGATTTGGTTAGGGATGCCGCTCCGGAGGGGGATTTTAGCGGGATTTTGACCCATTGGGATTCGGTAACGGTGTAGATTGTATCAGGGCCGGACGGGAGGGTTCGGACGGTGGCGCGCACGCGCGTCGCGACGAGGAGCAATCCGACGGTGTTGAAGGCCGCGTAGCCGATGAGCGCGCGGCCGTGCACGGCGGATCGGACGGCCACGGTGTTGCCACGTGTCGCGGCGAAGAGCGCGTCGGATTCGGTGCGGAAAACGTCGAGGCCGGGGCGGTTCGCGAAACGGAGCGCGCCGGTTACGGGATCGATGGAGATTAATTGCGTGTTGGGGAGCGTGGAGAGGGAAAGGAGGAGCACGAACTCGCCGGATTCGAGCTCGATCACATTCGCTCGCGTCTCGCGGAACGGCGTCGCTGCCATGGGGAGGGGGGAGAGATGTGGAGCAGAATTGAACTCATAAGCGCCTCATAGGTCGAATCGCCGAATTCGAGCCCGACTACCTCTGCTCGAGCTCGATGTTATTTGAGCTGTCTTGGGAAGTGTTAGGGATGCAGAGTGGAAAGGGGTAAAGGGTGGTGAGGACTGAAGAGTGGTCCGTACTGAAAGGATGTGCAGAAGGGAAAAGGGGTGAAAATGGGAAGTAATTCTCGAGATAGTGGCAGATGAAGCAGTGTGACATGCATCGTGGAAAAAACAGTCCAAGAAGGTTCGAAGAACAGCCCTAAACCTGACTACTGAGAGAACAAAAGGAGATTTCAGCTCTGCTGTTACTATTGCTATGCGTTTCGTCTTACATGTCCGTGTCGTCATATCGTAGATAATTTGTTTGGTAGATGTCGTAGAGGCTTCGTAGAAGCTTCTTGTAAGACAGTGCCGGCAAAATCTGGCTTTGGACGGCGTATGTTACCCTTACTCCTGTCAGAACCGCGAACACAGTGCTGACAAGACCTGGCTTTGGATTTACAGTTTTTTTAAGAACCTATTACAACTCCCTCCTCCCCCCTTCAATAGTTGCTTTCGAATCTCGCGAGTTCCAGGGTGAACTCTACACCTTTATGCCTGGACTTGGCAATTTGAATCCCATTCTAGAGCTCCTCCTCACACATCGCCTCGCTTCGCAACGAAGCCACTTGCTGCTGCGAAAGCCGTAATACGGCGCGTCCTAACTCGGCGTTCTCTAGGTAGGGATAGAGCGAGAACCGCGCGGCTGAACCAGGGATTTGACACCATTCCTCCTAAGCCGAGCTATTGAATTGAGTGAGCTCATAGAGCCGTTGAATCGGGCCTTCGAATCCTGTGTCAGCAATGTACTCGACATTGCATTGCACCTCACTTGTTGGGATCCAGTACAGTAAACTGTCAAGAGACATGCAAAACATTAGTACACGTTTGCGCGTACAATCGGAAAAACTTTTGCGAACCCTCCCTCAGAAACAAACCCAGTTGCCGTCATGATCACAATTCATCCCTTGCCTTCCAAAGCAAAACACAATTTCCTCCCTTCCAATCCTAGTAGCTCAATTAGGTTACGACTCGGGACGAGAAGCCTACTAATTAGCTACTAACCGCTTTAGTACTAGGTATCGTGGCTCGCGATTGGTGCTATAGGCTTTTCTACTGTGTCAGTGATTGGTTTCAAAAGTTGCGATCCGTCAGTTACACTGTTACCTCGTTCTTCCGTAGAATCGCCAGCAGCGGCCAGTCAAATTCGTGAGTCACCCCGTTCTCCACGCCCGTGCCTTGCGCTGTGGTCTACATTCACATTTACATCCCTCATTTCCTTCTTCGTCTTCACATTCCCGGCTCCTTTTACCTGTTTTCCCTGTTCACGCTGACTTCCCGACTTCACGCATCCCTCTTTCCTTCGTCGCCTCTGCTGTCTCCCCGACTTAAACCTAATAGCTACTGCCACTGTCCTCCCTCGCCTCGCCGATGCAGCTGGTTTTGGAGGATTGAATTCAATTCTTAAGGGAGAACGAAAAAAAGAAACACTAAAATTTGTGGTTTTCTGCAACGCCTGACCGCGTCCTCATCCTCTTTGACCCCATGCTTCACAGTCCGCCATGGCGCCAGTGGCGCTGCGGCCTGCGCCGCATAACCCGCCGCAATCGGCGCCGCAGCGCGCGCTGCAGCTGGACCAGCAATCAACGATGGATCTAACCCTAACGGTCCTGCAGCGCATGGATCCCGCCGTCGCCGAGATCCTTCTGACGGTTGGCCACGTCACTGTGTACGAGTTTGACGTGGCAGCCTCCTCTTGGGTGCGTACGTGGCATAGAGCGTGCGTTTCTGTTGCAAATGCCGTCGCAACTGCTAAACTAGAGTCGATTTTGAGGATTCTCAGAAGCAGGTGTGCCTTTGCAAGCACCAGGGTGCATGCATGCTCTCCCATCCAGTCCTTTCTGCTGTCTTCCACTCTTCCTGCTTTGCTCCATTCAGTTATCAATTTTCATCCCATCCCATCCCTTATCTTATACCAACTGTTGCAGACTCGAAAGGACGTGGAAGGATCACTGTTTGTCGTCAAACGGTGAGAAACTTGAAACTCTGGCAGGCGGATTTCGTGATCCTTTGTCAATGGGGATTCCGGCAGCAGCCCCCTCCTCCTACAGCTCTTGCAAGATCAACATTTGATTTATTTTCCAGATTTTTTTTGTGAAATTTCCAGTCTTCATCTCATCATGTAGAGCCATGAAGACTGTGCCTGCCTGGATTTCAATATATTACCAACTTCGTCCCATTTGTTTGTCCCATATATTCGTTCCATTTGTCCTGATAACTTCAATATATCTCACTTGCATCGATCAACATTGCCTTGTTTCACGCCTTCTTCCTGTGTCAAAATCTCTCCTTCCTCCCTCCTCTCTTTCATCTCCCTCTCCATGTTCCTGTGTGTTTGATTATGTGCTTGCATTTTTGTGCCTGGTTGCAATGGTGTATGTGGTCTCTGTGTGTGTGGGTGTGCACGTGCAAGCATGCATGTTTGCATTGTTTGTATGCTGAAACATGCATCTCTGAGCATGCACATGTGCATGTATGGTTGCATTGTTTCTATGCTGAAACATGCATCTTCGAACATACACATGTGCATGCATGGTGGCATCTTGCAGCAAGGAGCAGCCTCGCTTTCAGTTCATAGTCATGAATCGCAGAGCTCCAGGTACGTGTGTGTGTGTGTGTGTGTGTGTGTGTGTGTGTGCGTGCGTGCGTGCGTGCGTGCGTGCGTGCGTGCGTGCGTGCTCTCGCGCGCGTATGTGTATATGTTCATACATGTATATACATATATCTATATAAAAATGTATGAGTGTGTTTGTGTGCATACATGTATGTATTGGTGTGTATATCCAGTGCCTCCAGCATTGCCCCCTCCTTCCTCGGCCTGGCCTGTCCCCCATACAACCTCATAGAGGACCTTCTAGGCCACTTGGAGTACGCACGAAGTGCTTTGTGAGGCGCCTCAACAATATCCAGTGCCTGCAGCATTGCCCCCCCTCCTTCCTCGGCCTGTCCTGTCCCCCATATAACCTCACTCATAGAGGACCTTCTAGGTGACTTGGAGTACGTACAAAGTGCAACCACCCTACACCCTGCACCGTAACAGAGGGCAGGAGGTCTCACAGACACTCACTCACTACTCCGTCCCCCCTCGCCCGTACCCCAGAGAACCTGATAGAGGACCTGTTGGGAGACCTAGAGTACGAGGTGCAGCCGCCCTACATCCTGTACCGCAACAGAGGCCAGGAGGTGAACGGCATCTGGTTTTACTCCTTGAAAGAGTGCCACGATGCTGCCAATCTCTTCTCCAGGTTTGATTTCCCTCAACCTTTTTATTTTTATTTTTATTTTTTCATTTTTTTTTCCCCCATTTTTTCACCTGTTAGTTATTCACCTAACCTCAATCGACTTGACTTGTCATTACTGTGCTAAATTTTTAATCTCAAACCCGAAACTTTAAAACCCTGGATCCTGAATCTTCCATTTCCAACCCCCCGAGTCTTTTCTTCTTTCTCTCCCCATTGCAGGATTCTCAACACCTTTTCTCGCCACTCTCATCCAACCAAGCCGCTCCCACCGCCCCACGCGGCTGAAATCCACAACTCTGAATCCTGAATCATCCAGCTTACATTTCCCGCATGTCTTTCCCCTTTCCCTCCCCTGCGCAGGATTCTCAACACGTTTTCACGCCACGCACATCCAACCAAGCCGCTCATACCGTCTAATAGGTATGCTCGTTCCTTCCTCTCAGGCTGGGTGTATGTACTCTCTTGTTGCCCACCGCTTCCACCCAAGAGCCTCGCACTGTACGATAGGTTTGTCTTTTATTCAGCGACTTTTCAGACGTCTCAAAAGGCTGGGTGTATGTATGTACTCTCTTGCTGCCCACCCCTTCCACCCAAGAGCCTCGCACTGCACGATAAGTTTGTCCTTTATTGAGCCCGTCCCTTTTCCCTTTCCCTTACCTCGTTCCCGGTCCCTCTTTCCTGTTCCTCTTCCCCGTTCCTTTCCCCATCCTTCCAGCCCCGAGTAATCAGAGCTGAAAGCCGTTCCCTCATCAGTCATGGTGGACGGCCCTCTGGGGATGTTGGTGTCCCCACCAGAGGCAGGACGATCAGCCCAGCATCCCAACGCTGTCCCCTCTCTGCCTTTCTCTTTCCCTGTTCCTCTCCCTCACCCCTCCAGCCCCGAGTATTCAGAGCTGGAAGCCGTGCCCTCAGAGGCCATGGTGGACGGGCCTCTGGAGCCCTCCAGCACCCCACAGGACCACCAGCCCACCACGCCTCACACCCACCAACTCCAACTCAACACCCCACCTGAATCCCATCAGCCCTCGTTCTTCGATGCGCCTCAGAAACCCACGGGTCAGATTAATCCCGCCACGCTTCACCTGCTCAACAGCCCTCTTGAGCCATTGGTCGCCTCTGCAACCAATGAGAATGCGAATGCCCCGCTGCTTGTTAAGACCGGCGCAGCGGCAGTCCCAGTCGCCGCTCTTGTTGACACCCACACACCTCCGAACCACCATCCCTCCGCTTTGCTCCCTCCCTTCGCGTCCCTCCCTCCCGCCGCCTCGCTTCCTCTTCCTCCTCCCTCCTCACACCCCCCCTCTTTCCACGACGCTCGTTCCTCCTCTGCTCCTGTGCCCTCCTCTCTCCTCTCCACGCTTCTCCCGTCGCTTTCGGCCGCGCCACACGAACCGCAGCCCACCCCTCTCCCGCTGCTGCAGGGCCAGCCGCAGGAGAATGGTTTGCAGGGCAATGAGGGGCAGAGGGCAGGAGAAACCCCGCCACAAGGGCAGGGGCAAGTGAATGGGCAAGGGCAAGGGCAAGGGCAAGGGCAAGGGCAAGGGCAAGGGCAAGATGTGGTAAAAGAGCAGATTCAAGCTCTGATGGACCTCCAAGCCATGCTGCAAATTAAACCCACAGGCGCAACGCCGTCAGCACCAGCAACAGCAGCGGCAGCAGGCACAGCACACGCTCTTCTCAAACCCTCCTTCTTCTCCACTGCCCCTCCACCCGTCCCGCAAGCAGCTGCTGTTTCATCAGTCTCATCCGCCCCATCACTCCCATCAGCCTCCTCCTCCTCATCAGCAGCAGCAGCAGCAGCAGCAGCAGGACCAGCAGCACTGCCAACGCCACCACTGGCAGCATTGCCACCACCGCTCCCCCTCATCTCTCCTGCTGCCCTCTCTTCTTCCTCTGGCCCCATCTTCCCTTTAGCTACCTCCTCTCGCTCTGCCTTCTCCCCTCCTGCTCCATCTTCTGCTCCCTTCCCTCCCCTCTCCGCCTCTCTTCTCTTCCCTCCTCACCCCAACTCTGCTCCCATGCCTCCTCTCCCTTCCTCTGCAACTGCTTGTCACTTACTTGAAAGCGAAAGTGCAGAGAGTAAGAGTCTCATGAAAAGCCACGGGGAGGGAAGAGCAGCAGCAGCAGCAGCAAGAGACGCGGCAGGCAACGGGGAATCAGCAACGGAAGCAGGACGAGGAGGGGAGGGAGCAGCAACGAGGGAGAGAGGGAGTGAGGGAGAGGGGGGAGGAGACGGGGAGAGTGAGAGGATGTCAGGGAGTGAGAGTGAGAGAATGTCACGTGCGCTAGCAGCCCTCCTCCAACCCTCCCACGGGGCTCCCATGCTGCAACCGTTCCCCCCACCCGCCCCTCCCCCTTCCCTCGCCTCCCCCGCCCCCCCTCCTGCTCCCTCCCCCTCCATTCCCGCTCCTCTCCACTCCATTCCTGCCCCATCCCATTCCGTTCCTGCCGCAGCTCTCCCCATTCCTGCTCCTGGTGTTACTCCAGCCGCTGGGGGAACTGGGTTGGGCCTGCAAGGGGGAAGAGGAGGGGAGGGGGTGGCGGTGGTGGTGACAAGGGAAGGGCTGAAGGCTGCTCTGCTGCGACTGGTGCAGGTTGGTGCAGGTGGCAACTGGTGCAGGTAGATATGGTAGTGTTGCTTTTGAAGATTCTGAGAAGGGTGGCGGTGGTGGTGACAAGGGAAGGGCTAAAAGCTGCTCTGCTGCAATTGGTGCAGGTGGGGACTGGTGCAGGTGGGAAGTGGTGCAGGTGGGGACTGGTGCAGGTGGAAACTGGTGCAGGTGAGAACTGGTGCAGGTGGGAAGTGGTGCAGGTGGGAAGTGGTGCAGGTGGGAAGTGGTGCAGGTGGGGACTGGTGCAGGTGGAAACTGGTGCAGGTGGGAACTGATGCAGGTGGGAAGTGGTGCAGGTGGGAAGTGGTGCAGGTGGGGACTGGTGCAGGTGGGGACTGGTGCATGTGGGGACTGGTGCATGTGGGACTGGTGCAGGTGGGAAGTGGTGCAGGTGGAAACAGGTGCAGGTGAAGACTGGTGCACGTGTCACTCTAGGACGATCAATCTACCTCTCTTGCAATCCTCCTCTACTCTTGTTTCCCGCTCTTTCCAGAGCTAGCTCACTCACACACACCCTAGCTCACTCACACACACCCTAGCTCACTCACACACACCCTAGCTCACTCACACACACCCTAGCTCACTCACACACACCCTAGCTCACTCGCAGGTTCAGGCATACCTAATTTCCTTTACCCCTCCCTCCCCCCTCCCTCCTCCCTCCTTCCCCCCACCTCCCTCCTCTCCCGACTCTCTTCAGAACGACAATTTCATCGACATGCTCTTTCAAGAGCTAGCCCACTCACACCCAACCCCGCAATGACACCGTGCTACAGTATCATTTCCATATGCCGAGTTGCAAGCTTTTTGTCTAGGTGTAGTAAGCACTAATCATGAATTTTCTTACCACCTTGGTAGAAGCAATTTCGGCATTCGTGTTCTGCTGATTTAGTCACTTGTATTGCTCTGCTGTCTGGTAGTTAGGGTACATTCCGCTCTGGACATGTCCCAAAAGTACATGTCCCAATCGGGTGTACCGCTCCGAACCGAACTAAACCAGAGACGCGAAAATTTTGACAATGTGTGAAACTAGGGTGTAATTCGGTGTAATAAGATGCAGTGCGGTAGAATCGATTGGGACACTTTCTATTGGGACATGTCCTGAGCGGAATGTACCCTTATTGGATTGGGTTTTTTTACCTAAAGGTCCAACTTCCATATTGAATCACTCATGTGGCGAGGTTTGCCGAGCATATGGCGGTAATCTCTTTCTTGACAAAATTCCGGAACATGAGCAAGTCCCTGCATAGCATGAATACATTTGCATAGGCATAATACTGTCAAACTATATGTTTGTGTTATCTCTAGGCTATAGTGGGTTAGCCTACAAGGGGTACAACAAACTAGGGTTAGGACTACTTGTACTGCCCTTTCATCTCAATGCACTCATTCCTGCACAGTGGATTCTGAGATGGTATTCAGAGCAGGAAACCTGTTAGGTTTTTAGGGCCCACCGATCGTTCCACTAGTTCCTGCCCGAAGCGCCCTTGCGCTGTCCGGCGCTCTCACACAGTGTCACGCTGCCCTGCAGCTACTCGCACTGCCTGCCCTAGCGCGCTGCCCTGCTGTCACGCGCGCCCCTGCTGCCCGCGAGCAGCCCCTGCTCCGCGCGCCCCTGCTGCCCGCATGCACCCCCTGCCCCGCGCGCCACTGCTGCTCGCGAGCAGCCCCTGCCCCGAGCGCCCCTGCTGCCCGCTAGCAGCCCCTGCCCTGCGCGCCCCTTCTGCCCGCGAGCAGCTCATACCCCAGCGCGCCCCGCAGCCCAGCGCGCCAGCGCGCCCCGCTGCTAAGCGCGCCAGCGCGCCAGCGCGCCCCGTTGCTAAGCGCGCCAGCGCGCCCTGCAGCCTAACGCGCCAGCGCGGCCCGCAGCCTAACGCGCCAGCGCGCCCCGCAGCCCAGCGCGCCAGCGCGCCCCACTGCGAAGCGCGCCAGCGCACCCCACTGCGAAGCGCGCCAGCACGCCCCGCAGCCCTAAGCGCGCCAGCGCACCCCGCAGCCCAGCGCACCAGTGCGCCCCGCAGCCCAGCGCGCCAGCGCGCCCCGCAACCCTAAAAGCGCCAGCGCGCCCTGCTGCCCAGCGCGCCGATGCTGCATGAGCTGCTGTTGCTGCTAAGCGCTGCTGCTGCTGCCTTACTGCTGCTCCTACTGCTACTGCTACGGCTGTTGCTACTACTGCTGCTGCGGCTCGTGCTGTCACTGCTGGCACTACTGTTGTTACTGCACTAGCCTGTGCCCTGCTGCCCACGTACTCTACTCGCCTCCACATTCACTACAGCAGTCGCTACTACTGCCCTTGCGCCGCTGCTACTGACTGCCACTGCCTGTCATGGCCACTATCACGGTAGTCGCAGCGGCTAGGGGTGGACAGCAACAGCCACTGCCTCCCGGACACGCTATCCCCGCAGCAGCTTCGCGAGTGGGTTATTCAGCGAGCCCGTCCAGGTGGTGGAGGCTTTGGTTTTCTGCGTACTGCACAGCGGCGGCAGCAGAGTCAGCAGGAGACCTTCTCCCCGTAGCTGCTTAGTGAGTTGTTTTCTCAGCGATGTGTCCCTGGTTCTGTAGAGGCTGCTGCTCTAGGTGCTAGTGAGTCTGCTGCCGCACTAGGTGCTAGTGAGTCTGCTGCCGCGCCAGGTGCTAGTGAGTCTGCTGCAGCTTTAGGTGCTCGTGCATCTACCGCCACAGGTCCTGCCTCAGCTGAGGCCTTGCACACTTTCACACTTGACTCAGGCGCGTCACGTTGCTTCTTTCGTGACTGCACCACACTCACACCACTTGCTGCACCGGTACCAGTCTCTCTGGCTGACCCCACTGGGGGCCCAGTAGTCGCACGAGCCTCCACTGTCCTCCCGTGTCCAACAGTCCCCTCCGGTTCTCTGTCAGGTCTCCACCTCCCCACGTTCTCGACGAACTTGGTGAGCAACGCTGCCATTCAGGATGTCTGGGTTGATACCTTTATTCCTGGAGGGCAGCGTGTGGCGATCTGTACGTGCTCCCGGACTGGCCGTCACCTTGCTACGTTCACTCGACGGTCTGGGTCTAGTATGTACACACTTACCACTGCGTCTGCACAGGTGGCTGAGTCAGGTCAGGTGGCTGCGTCGAGTCGGGTGTCTGCGTCTGGTCAGCTTGCAGCGTCTTGCTCGTGTCGGGTACTCTCTCACCAAACTCTCCTCTGGCACCACCGCCTTGGTCACCCCTCGCTGCCGCGTCTGCGCAGCATGCACTCCCGTCTCCTTGTCTCTGGCCTTCCCAGGGCCCTGCCCTCCCTCCCGCACGCGCCTGCACCGCCGTGCCTTCCCTGCGTCGAGGGGCGGCAGCGCGCCGCTCCTCACTCCTCCGAGTTTCCTCCGACCACTGCTCCTCTGCAGACTCTCCACATGGACGTGTGGGGCCCGGCCCCCGTCAGTGGAACGGACCTGGAGCGCTACTTCTTGCTGGTGGTTGACGATTACACACGCTACACCACTGTCTTCCCCTTGCGGCGCAAGGCGGACGTCAGCGGTATTTTGATCCCCTGGATCCGTGCTACTCAACACCAGCTGCGCGAGCGGTTTCGGCGGGACTTGCCAGTCGTGCGTCTGCACTCTGACAGGGGCGGTGAGTTCTCTTTTGGCGTCCTTGAGAAGTTCTGTCGAGACGAGGGCATCCTGTCAGAATCCCAACCACTAGACCATTGGGATAAAAGGGCTTGTTAAGTAGTGGGTCAATGCGCCCATAACCCCCCAGGACAACGAGCCTGTAACCCTTCCCTAGGATCAATCGGGGATCACCAGTGGACCTCTGACACCCCCCCGCACTGGGATGCCCGAAGTGCACACACTGGGATTTGAACCTGAGACCTTCGCTCTGATACCATGTCAGAATCCCAACCACTAGACCATTGGGATAAAAGGGCTTGTTAAGTAGCGGGTCAATGCGCCCATAACCCCCCAGGACAACGAGCCTGTAACCCTTCCCTAGGATCAATCGGGGATCACCAGTGGACCTCTGACACATCCGCCAGACGTTCACGCTTCCGGCCTCTCCTCAGCAGAATGGGATTGCTGAGCGTTGCATTGGCTTGATCATGGAGGTTGCTCGTACCTCCATGATCCATGCGTCTGCTCCCCATTTTCTGTGGCCGTTTGCGGTCCGATACGCTGCGCATCAGCTCAACCTCTGGCCCCGTGTCTCTGAGCCAGAGACCTCGCCCACACTCCGGTGGACGGAGAAGGTTGGCAATGCGACGGTGGTTCGGGTCTGGGGCGCGCTCTCCCTTGTTCGCGATGCCAAAGCGAGCAAGCTCTCCCCTCGCACTCTCTGCTGCGACTTCCTTGGCTTCCCCACTGACGCCCCGCCGTGGCAGTTTTACCACCCTCGCGAGCGTCGTGTGTTCTCCTCCCATGACGTCACCTTTGACGAGTCTGTCTGTTTCTACAGGCTCCACCCGCACGCGTCCCACCCAGTCCCCCTCGCGCCTCTCTTCCTGGTACCAGTTCCCCCCACGGTAGTCCCCCTCCCCCCACAGGGTCCTGCTCCCTCAGGTGTGTCTCAGGTAGACCCACCCCCCTTGGTTGAGCCTCTGGAGATCTCTTCTGACTCCTCTGGCCCAGCTGAGGGGGGTGACCCCACCGCTGACGACACAGCGGCCACTCGCCGCTCTCCTCGCTTGGAGGAACCCCCTGGTTTTCCGCCTCGGCCGTCTTCTCCGCCTCCGCAGCCTGCTGCTGTGGACTCTGGAGCTGAGACTGCTGGTGCTGAGCCTGGGGGTGCTGAGACAGAGGGTGAGGGTTCTAGGGGTGCTGCGACTGGGGGTGCTGACTCTGGGGGTGCTGCGAGTCCTAATGACGGTGGAGTTGTGGGTGACCCTGCTGGAGGTCTTGGAGCTGGACATCCATCGCAGCCTGATCTACTTGAGACGCTCTCATCGCAGGCGATCCGTGCGTGGATCGTTCGGCGAGGCAGTCCTGGTGGTGGAGGGTACGGTCCTGCTGGTGCTGGAGCTGCTAGTCCTGGAGGTACTGCTGGTGCTGGAGGTGCTGGAGGTACTGCTGGAGGTACTGGAGGTGCTGCTGGTGCTGGAGGTACTGGAGCTGCTAGTGCCGGAGGTGCTGCTGGAGGTGCTGGAGGTGCTGGAGCTGCTAGTTCTGCTGGTACTGGAGGTGCTGGAGGTGTTGGAGCTGCTGGTGCTGGAGGTACTAGAGCTGCTAGTGCTGGAGGTGCTGGAGCTACCACTGCTGGAGGTGCTGCTGGTGCTGGAGGTACTGGAGCTGCTAGTGCTGGAGGTGCTGCTGGTGCTGGAGGTGCTGCTAGAGGTGCTGGAGGTGCTGGAGCTGCTAGTCCTGCTGGTGCTGGAGGTACTAGAGCTGCTAGTGCTGGAGGTGCTGCTGGTGCTGGAGGTGCTGCTGGAGGTGCTGGAGGTGCTGGAGCTG